GGGTTTGGGGTCACCACGGGTGCTGGGTGGACTGTTGGCGGTGATGGCGGGGCCTGGGGAGGGTTTGGGGTCAGCCGGAGGGGTGGTGGTGGGGTCTGAGGGGGGTTTGGGGTGACCACGGGCACCGTTGGTGGTGGTGGTATCATCTCCGGTGGTATCGACACCGGTTGTGCCGTCAGGTGAGGCTCCGGTGGTTCCTCTGGTGGTACTTCCGATGGTACATCCGGTGGGAGCTCCAGTGGTACGGCTGATGGTTCCTCTAACGGTGTTTCCGGTGGTTCTTCTGATGGTATCTCCCAGGGTACGTCTGATGGTTCCTCTGATGGTATCTCCACCGGTTCCTCCGATGGTTTCTCCAACGCTACGTCCGACTGTACCTCCAGTGTCATCACCAGTGGTGTTTCCGATGGTTCCTCTGATGGTTCCTCCGACGGTTCCTCTGGTGGTTCCTCCGATGGTTTCTCCAATGGTTCCTCTGGTGGTTTCTCCGATGGTTCCTCCGATGGTTCCTCTGATGGTTTCTCCAATGGTTCTTTTGATGGTACCCCCAACACTACGTCTGATGGTACCACCGGTGTCATCTCCAGTGGCACCGCCGGTTGTACCTCTGGTGGTTGTCACCCGCCTGATGTCCCTCACGGTTGTAGCTCTGGTGGTTGCACCTCTGGTGGTGGCAGCTCTGGTGGCTGTAGATCTGGTGCCTGTAGATCTGGTGGTTGTAGATCTGGTGGTTGTAGATCTGGTGGTGATACCTTTGGTGACGTCTCCGGCGGTACCTCTGCTGGTTGTACCTTTGGTGGTTGTCACCAGGCTCATGGCAACTCTGGTGGTGGCACCTCTGGTGGTGGCACTTCTGGTGGTGGCACCTCTGGTGGCCGTGACAGCTCCGACGGTGCTTTTGGAGGCGTCCATCACAACCGCGGTACCTCCGGTGGTTGTCACCGTTCCGGAGGTGTCCATCATGGTGGTGGCATCTCCGGTGGCTTTGGACACAGCCCTGGTGGTGGTGGCACCTCGGGACCGGGTGACGGTGACACCTCGGGAACGGGTGGTGGTGGTGGCACCTCTGGACCTGGTGGAGGTGACACCGATGGTTGGGGTGACACCGATGGAGGTGACACTGGTGGAGGTGACACTGATGGTGGAGGTGACACTGGTGGAGGTGACACCGATGGTTGGGGTGACACTGATGGAGGTGACGTTGTTTGGGGTGACACCAGTGGAGGTGATGCCAATGGTTGGGGTGACACCGATGGAGGTGATGTTGGTTGGGGTGACACCGATGGAGGTGACACCGATGGTTGGGGTGACACCGGTGGAGGTGACACCGATGGTGGTGACACTGGAGGACCTGCAGCGGGAGCTGGTGGCGGTGACACCGGGTGACACGGCGGTGGGACAGCGGTGGCAGCGCCGTGGCTTCTTGTAGGGTGGTGGCACCTCATAGGTTTCCTCCCAGTGGCACCCATGGGTGACATCATGGCCGTGGCCGCCATCTTGGTTGTCACTACGGCTAGCGTCTTGGTGGCCATCGTGGCCACCGTCTTGGTTGTCACCATCGTGGTGGCCACCTTGGTGGCCGCCATGGTAGTCCTTCCGGGGGCTCCCATGGGTGACATTGTGGCCATGGGTGACGTCGTGGTCCTCCTGGTGGCCGCCATCTTGGTGGCCACCATATACGTCCTCTTGGTGGCCACTGTGGGTGACATCGTGGCCATGGGCGATGTTGTGGTGGCCAACATGGCCGCCATTTTGGTTGTCTCTGTGGGTGCCGTCTTGGTGGCCACCATGGGTAACGCTGTGGCCACGGCCACCATCTTGGTTGTCCCTATGGCCGCCATCTTGGTGGCCACCCTCTCGTTTGTCCCTATGGCCGCCATCTTGATGACCACCGTGGCCGCCATCTTGGTTGACCATGTGGCCGCCATCTTGATGGCCGCCATCTTGTTCGTCCCCACGGCCGCCATCTTGACGGCCGCCATCTTGGTTGTCCCTGTGACCGACGTCTCGGAGGCCGCCATCTTGTTTGTCCCTACGGCCGCCATCTTGTTTGTCCCCATGGCCGCCATCTTGCTTGTCCCTAAGGATGACCACTTGGTGGCCACCACGGACGCCATCTTGGTGGCCCCCTCCGCCGGGACCCTCCTGGCGCTGCTCCTCCATGGCCCCCTGCAGACACAGCGCCCGTTTGCACCAATTCTGCACCGTTTGTCCCCAATCTGCACCCAGAGGGATGCAATTCGGGGAGGGGGGAACCGCACGATTTTGCAATTTGCAACGGGGGG